GTAAATTCTTCCCATCGCTGGGTGAGAGGTTGACTTTCAAACAAGGAAAGAATCAGCCTTAAATGACTCACAACGGTCATGCCTAACCAGCGATGGGTATGCCCTCCCATCGCTGGGTTCCCATCGATGGGTAAAGGTTCCCATCGCTGGGAAGGGGCATTCTGCCTTGTGATAATGTTGGACCAAGGCTTGAACAGCGATGGGTAGAACTTCCCATCGCTGTTTGGCATGGTTCTGGAAGTTGGTTTGGCTTAGGGACCGCTTACCCATCGATGGGAAGATCTTCCCATTGCTGGGTGGGTGGTTAGCCAAAAACCCATGGTCTTTGCCTTAACCACGGCCTAGCAAACCGATGCAAAAAACCGACCGAAAAATCCAAAGTTCTCCAAAATAAAAACCAAGTGTTTAAAACACTGATTTGATGTATTTGGCTAAGAAATCAAGTGAGTTACTTTAAAAACCACGTCATTTGAGTGAAAACCACGGCTAGCCAAGTTTACGCCGTTTTGCGTGGTTTTTGTCAAACGACCAAAAACGAAAGATGGTTTTCAAAGTGTTTTTGTTGGAGAACCGTTTAAACATGCCAAAGAGTGAAAACCAATAATAAAAAGTTCAAAACCACTTGGTTGGTTTGGACGTCAAAAACCAATGCCGATAACCGAAAGCCGAACGCCAGTTTCTGAAACCCGAACGCTGGATGGCTTGGTTTTTGGTTTGGGCGAACACCAAGTGTTTTTAATTACTTAAACATGTTTGAAAAACATTTTTATGATGTGATAAAAGATTTTAGCCTAAAGAGCCAATGCGTGAGGGTTGGGTTGGTCTTGATTACAAATATGACCGACTCAACAATACTAAAGACTGCGGTCTTTGTTCTTGGTCTCTTTTAGCTCTTGTTCTTTATCATCGTTCTTCGCCTTGTATATTCAATGTTTGTCTTGATCACGGCGGTTTGGCATTATCAAAACCTGTTACAAAAACGAACACGGCTTTAGTACGAAAACGTGACAAGCCCGTGTTTCAACAATTTCCCCCTTTTTGATAATGGCAAACGAGATGAGGTTATGCATATGAGGATTGTCTTGAAACTAAAAAATGTTCCCCCTTAAAAGATGCCATAAAGAATTCCCCCTCAATTTATGCATAACCTTGATATCTTCCCCCTTTTGACATTAACAAAAAGAATTAAAGTAAACTTTAGAATTTAAAAGTGAACTTTTATTAAAATAAGGGAAAATGCAGAATACAACGGAATGGAAGTATAAGAAGTGCAATCATAGTAGGAAAAGGAAAGAAAAGAAGAGTCTAGGCATCGGCGTCCTTGTCCTCGGCGTCATCGTCTTCTTTGTCGTCCTCAACGTCCATGGGATCCCCGTCGACAGCGTCCTCAAAGTCGGCTTCGTCGGGGGAGGAGGACGGAGCATAGGAGTTGTCCTCCTCGACCTCGCCTTCATAGTTCTGGCCGAGGAAGGTGGTGTCAAAGGGCGGCGGGACGTAGTTGATGCCGCGGAAGAACGCCCTCATGTCGTGGTGTTGGCGTTGCAGCGTGCTATCCATCCGCTCCAAGTATTGGCCCATGCCGTCCACGGTGATGGTTAGCCGATTCAGGGTATCGGCTATGGACTGTAAGGAGGCCTTGGCGGGAGCGGGGGCTGGAGCCCGACTTGGTCCTTCGCCGTCTTGGTCTCCGGACTTCTTCCGTAAGGTGCTATCTTGGATGATCCAAATCTTCGTCATCTTCGTGCTTGGCCCGGCGATGTGGATGTCGGCGGAGACGATGAGGTCCATGACGAGGAAGGCGTATGGCAAGCTCCGCTCGGTGGTGATGGAGGCGCAATCCGCCATGTGAATCATGACGTATTTTGCCCAATTGATCGAGGTGCCATGGATGATAGCATGAACCGCCTTGAGATCCTCGTTGGAGAGAGAGGTGTGGCTACTGTCCCGGGGGCGAAGAATCCGGGTGAGGATGTAGAGTAGGAGACGCTTTTCCGGCGGGGCTGAGTGGATGGTTGGTGTGCCGCTGTGACAGATGAGGTTGGTGATTCCAAGCTCTTGGATGACCACCGCCTCATTGTTGAGGATCCAATCATCGCCACCATAAGTCGCGATGTCGTCACCGCGAGTGGGCAAGAAGGGCCACAAACCCGACTTCTTCAGTTGATCGTCGAGGTCGTGGTATCCCTTCTGCTGAGGAAACAACTCGGGCAGCACCCTTGGCGGAGAGATGCGGCGTTTGGCGAAGTGGGTGATGAAGCGTGTGAGTTCCTCTTCCGACCCGAACTCCATGAAGGATCCGTCCAGGTACGGGAAGGGTTGAGGCGCAGAGCTCGTGGCCTCGGCGACGGTCTTCTTCTTGGAGGCCTTGCTCTTGGACTTTCCTCCGGCCATGATTGAGATTCTTTTGAAAAACGAGAGATGGACTAAGTAGATTTGGATGAAGGAATGAAAGTATGATGTTAATGGTGTATTAGAATGAACAAATATGATGGATATATATAGGGAAGGGAGGATTTGGCCGTTTGGATTCAAAAATATGGCTGTTGGGCAATTAATGTGGTGCCCAACGGCTCTGAATTTTTGAAATGCACCAGCCTTCCCAGCGATGGGTAGATCTTCCCATCGATGGGAAGGTTGCCACTGGAATGCGAAGGGGAAAACAAGGCTGCCTTCCCAGCGATGGTAAAACTCACCCACCGATGGGAAGGTGGCTACTGGAAATCCGATAAAACGCTTTAAAAAAAATAGTGTCAAACACCCAGCGATGGGAGAAAGTTCCCATCGATGGGTAGGGAAGTTGTGGAAAAAATATTTGAAACTGAAATCATTCACCCAGCGATGGGATAAAAGACCCATCGATGGGTAGGGTGTTTCTGAAAAAAGTTTTGACAAAAGTCCTTCACCCAGCGATGGGATGAAATACCCATCGATGGGTAAGGTGTTTCTGGAAATCCGTTAAGTATTTTTAAAAAAATAGAGTCAATTACCCATTGATGGGAGAAAGTACCCATCGATGGGAAGAGGGGTTCTAGTTAGATAATACTTCCTTCCCAGCGATGGTATAACCCACCCATCGCTGGTTCCCCCTGACTTCTGGATTCCTTCACCTTGAACCGTCCCTGCAAAAAAGAGTTAGAAAACTCTCAGACGCTCAAGTTAGCAAACGTTCAAACAAAGAGAAAATATTGATAAATGCACAAATTAGATCATCGTGGAGTCAAGGATTCCGAGTTCACTACGGATGCGGAAGAACGACTCTTTCTTTAAGGTTTGTGAAAATGTCGGCTAATTGGTTGTGTGTTTCAACAAACTCAATTTCGACATCACCTTTGAGAACATGATCTCTAATGAAGTGGTGCCTAATGTCAATGTGTTTCGTCCTTGAATGAAGAACGGGGTTCTTCGTCAAGCTTATGGCGCTAGTATTGTCACAACGGAGTGGAACGTGACTGATACTAAGGCCATAATCCACGAGTTGTTGTTTCATCCAAAGGATTTGAGCACAACAACTACCGGCGGCAACATATTCCACTTCGGTTGTGGATAAAGCAACACTGACTTGTTTCTTACTGAACCATGAAACTAAAGAGCTACCAAGTAAGTGGCAAGTCCCACTCGTACTTTTACGGTCCAATTTGCAACCGGCAAAGTCCGAGTCGGAGTAACCAACGAGATGACACGAAGAGCCTTTAGGATACCACAGTCCAACGTTAACCGTGCCTACAAGGTATTTCATGATCCGTTTCACCGCCGTTGAGTGTGATTCCTTCGGGCATGATTGATACCTTGCGCAAAGGCATACGCTAAACATGATATCCGGCCTACTAGCGGTAAGGTAGAGAAGGGATCCGATCATACCTCGATACTTTTTGACTTCAACTTCCTTACCCTTTTTGTCTTTGTCTAGGTGGTCGGACGTGCTCATCGGGGTCGCCATTACTTTGGCATTTTTCATTTCGAATCGTTTTAGGAGCTCCTTGCAGTATTTTGTTTGGCAAATGAATGTGCCATCTTTCATTTACTTGACTTGGAGTCCCAAAAAGAATGTAAGTTCACCCATCATGGACATCTCAAATTCGCTTGTCATTAACGTTGAGAATTCCTTGCACAAAGACTCGTTAGTAGCACCGAATATAATATCGTCTACATAAACTTAAACCAAAAGGATGTTATTGTTTTTACTCTTGATAAAAAGTGTAGTGTCAACCTTTCCCCTTTGGAAACCACTATCCAAAAGAAATTTACTCAAGCGTTCGTACCAAGCACGGGGTGCTTGTTTAAGACCGTAGAGCGCTTTCTTGAGTTTGAAGACATGGTCGGGAAACTCAAAGTCTTCAAATCCCGGGGGCTGGTCAACATACACTTCCTCTTGAATAAAACCATTGAGGAAGGCACTCTTAACATCCATTTGATAAAGTTTAAAATCCATAGACGAAGCAAAAGCAAGAAGTAAATGAATAGCTTCTAAACGTGCTACAGGTGCATAAGTTTCTTCGAAATCAATGCCTTCTTGATTGTAGCCTTTAGCTACGAGCCTAGCTTTGTTTCTAGTGATTATTCCATTTTCATCTAGTTTGTTACGGAACACCCATTTCGTACCAATAGTCGTACGATCATCGGGTCTTGGCACCAATTCCCAAACGTCATTCCGTTTGAATTGGTTTAGCTCCCCTTGCATAGCCAAGGTCCAATGTTCATCGTTTATTGCTTCGGAAATGGTTGTAGGTTCAATTTGAGAAACAAAAGCCATGTGTCCTACGGTATCCCTAAGTGAGTTGCGAGTACTTACCCCGCGGTTGATACTACCGATTACCTGGTCAAGCGGATGGTTCTTGTTTGTTCTCCATGCTATGGGAAGCTCGGTTGCTTCTTCTTCGTGTTCCTCTTGTTCTTCTTCTTCCTCCTGATTTTCTTCTTCACCTTGGTTAGTCGCTTGAGGTATCTCCCCAGTTTGCGGCTGTGTGTTGATGTATATTCCCGTGTTGTCTTCATCGTCATCAACGTGTATTCTCTCTAATGAATCTGCAAGATCATCACAAATATCCTTTCTCGCCAAGCGAGGGTTATCTTCGGAAAATACAACGTGAGGAGACTCCTCAATAGTCAAGGTACGTTTATTGAAAACTCTATAGGCCTTGCTACGAAGTGAGTAACCCAGAAAAATTTCTTCATCCGACTTGGCATCAAATTTGCCTAAGTTATCTTTGCCATTGGTATGAATAAAAGATTTGCAACCAAAGACTCGAAGATGGAAAAGGTTTGGCTTTCTCCCTTCGTATAATTCATAAGGTGTTTTCATGAGTATCGGTCAAATGACGGCTCGGTTTAACACGTAGCTCGCGGTACTCACGGCATCCGCCCAAAAATACTTAGGGATTTTTGCCTCATTAATCATAGTTCTAGCCATCTCTTCGAGATATCTATTTTTACGTTCCACCACTCCATTTTGTTTTGGTGTACGTGGGGCTGAGAAGTTATGATCAATGCCAAGTTCGTCACACAAATCTAAAAACAGATTTCGTTTGAACTCTCCCCCATGATCGCTTCTTATGGAAACTATGGTTCTGTCTTTTTCATTTTGAACTTTCTTTAGAAAATTTTTGAAAACATGAAATGCCTCACTTTTGTGAGTTAGAAACAAGGTCCATGTAAACCTAGAGTAGTCATCGACAATCACAAACGCAAAGTAATTACCACCAAAAATTTTCGTTCTAGAAGGACCAAAGAGATCCATGTGCAAAAGTTGAAGCGGTCTAGACGTTGAAACAATGTTCTTGGACTTAAATAAAGCCCGAACTTGCTTCCCCTTTTGACATGCATCACATATGGTGTCTTTTTCAAACTTAAGTTTTGGAATGCCAATTACTAAGTCTTGTGAAACCAATTTGTTCAAAAGGTTCATGTTCATATGAGCTACCCTTCGGTGTCGTAACTAAGTGTCTTCCTCTTTACTCATGTGGCACTTAGCAAAGCCGGAAGGGGATTTGTCTAAGTTAACCATATAAATATTATCGATTCTATCACCACGTAGAATGACCTTATTGTCACTAAGGCGTTCTGCCATGCATGATTTTGAGTCGAAGGTCACACAATTTCCCTTGTCACATAATTGACTTATGCTCAAGAGATTGTGTTTAAGACCTTTAACTAGCAAGACATTATATATAGAGGAGTTTTCAGATTTACCTACCGAACTAATGCCGATAATCTTTACCTTGCTATTGTCTCCAAAAATTACGTTTCCTTCTTTAGCGGGTTTGATTTGGAGAAACTTGGATGCCGCCTCGATCATGTGCTTAGAGCATCCGCTATCAAGGTACCAAAGTACACTTGATGCCTTCAAGCACACATATGAAACACATCAATGAGTAACCCAGAAAAATTCCTTCATCCGACTTGGCATCAAATTTGCCTAAATTGTCTTTGCCATTGTTGTGAATAAAACATTTGCAACCAAAGACTCGAAGATGGGAAAGGTTTGGCTTTCTCCCTTTGTATAGTTCATAGGGCGTTTTCATGAGTATCGGTCGAATGACGGCTCGGTTTAACACGTAGCTTGCAGTACTCACGGCATCCGCCCAAAAATACTTAGGGATTTTTGCCTCATTGATCATAGTTCTAGCCATCTCTTCGAGACATCTATTTTTGCGTTCCACCACTCCATTTTGTTGTGGTGTACGTGGGGCTGAGAAGTTATGATCAATGCCAAGTTCGTCACACAAATCTGAAAACAGATTTTGTTCGAACTCTCCCCCATGGTCGCTTCTTATGGCTACTATGGTTGTTTCTTTTTCATTTTGAACTTTCTTTAAGAAATTTTTGAAAACGTGAAATGCCTCACTTTTATGAGTTAGAAACAAGGTCCATGTAAACCTAGAGTAGTCATCGACAATCACAAATGCAAAGTAATTGCCACCAAAACTTTTCGTTCTAGAAGGACCAAAGAGATCCATGTGCAAAAGTTGAAGCGGTCTAGACATTGAAACAACGTTCTTAGACTTAAACGAAGCCCGAACTTGCTTCCCCTTTTGACATGAATCACATATGGTGTCTTTTTCAAACTTAAGTTTTGGAATGCCAATAACTAAGTTTTGTGAAACCAATTTGTTCAAAAGGTTCATGTTCATATGAGCTACCCTTCGGTGCCATAGCCAAGTGTCTTCCTCTTTACTCATGAGGGACTTAGCAAAGCCGGAAGGAGATTTGTCTAAGTTAACCATATAAATGTTATCGATTCTATCACCACGTAGAATGACCTTATTGTCACTAAGGCGTTCTACAGTGCATGATTTTGAATCGAAGGTCACACGGTTTCCCTTGTCACATAATTGACTTATGCTCAAGAGATTCTGTTTAAGACCTTTGACTAGCAAGACATTATCTATAGAGGAGTCTTCGGACTTACCTACTGAACCGACGCCGATAATTTTTCCCTTGCTATTATCTCCAAAGACTA